GTGGCCTCTACATACTCAAAGCGCGAAGGATCATGTCCCTCAACAACTTTGGCACACCAACGCTTTGCTTGCGATGGGTTGGAATACTGAGATGATGGCAAGATCACTCTTGTTGCACCTTGGGTACAACCTTTAGGTTTGATTATAGCAGGATCAAGCACCATATGCTCAACTGCCTATGCCATTGGCACCAATCGATTAGGATGAACAAGTCCACTTCCCTCTACTCTTGTTGTCATACTTTTGACTCCAACCGCATCACAAATCTATCCCAATAATTTCCTTCTCCAGCATGATCTTGCTCACTTTGCTAAAGATGATTTTATGGATGGATGCGTTGAAACCACACGTAGCTTTCTTCAAATCAAGCTATTCCATTGTCTTCTTGTAGTCAGTAACCACTGAAAAGCAAGAAAAATCTTTTCTTTTCTATATAATGTGGATCTTTGCGATTGGGATCCTATTCGGTCGGCAAGGTGTTAAAATTGTTGAAAAATCCCATTTTTGGGGTGGATGAAATGGTTGTGGGCGGGGCATCAGATTAAAGATCCTAGACGCCAGATTTGGCAAAATTAATACGGCCAATATATTTTAAGACGCCAGATTTTTAGATATTTTTAGACTTCTGATTTGCCAATCTGCTAGAATCATAAAATTAGTCAAATAACTATTTTAACTAAATTTCCGGAATTTAGTTATTTTTTCAAAATGAAATTAGTCAAAATAGTCATTTCTCCCAAAAGTGCCATTTTTTTATTGAAATCACCTAAAACACGCAAAACATGGTCCGTTTGGAGGGATATTCACTTTTGATGCAACATCTGACGGCATTGGAGATTGCCTTCCAGTGAAAAATTGGTCAAAGAAAGACGAAAATCGTCCTTCTTCCATTTAAGAACGGAGAAATCTGCTTCAACAGAGGCGGTATTTGGAAATATTGAAACAAGTCCGCCCGCAAATGAACAAAGGTCCGGATACTCAAAAGCGATGCCTTCAATGCGCCATGTTGCATCAAAATTTGTTGTTACAGGGTCACAGGAACGAGATAACAGAGACTTGAACCGAGGTTGTTCATCACACCATTATTTCAGCGCGCTGTTGAGAGCAAATATCCTCAATTCTTTTGTCATTCCAAATGATCGAAATCCGAGCGTTTAGCTGTTCAACAAGTTCAATTAATTCTCTGGGTTGCATTTCTACAAATCCTAGAGGAAGTGTGGGTAGAGTCTTGTTCACAGATGCGCAATTGAATTCATTGCGCTCAACTCAGACATACTACAGACCAACGATCAGAGTGTTGAACATTTCAACAACGTTTTTAAGAATCTTATCGATTTCTTCTGGCCGTGATCCCCTCACGAAGTGAAAGACGAACAGGCCTTGGTCGGTCACAAATCCGTTGAGTTCATGTTTTAAATAGTTAAAACCATTGCATTGAATTACGGCTTCAACAGGACTAGCCTGAGGATCCACCTCAGGCTAGTCTCAGGCTAGTCCTTGGCCTTCGGGCCAAGGGCCTCCGGAGTTACCACGTGCGATGCGGACGAGTGTTCCGCCTACGCACAGGCGAGTTGCAGCGGAAAGGCGACCTCAAGCGGACGTGGACCTCCGCCTACGCGTAGGCAGAGAAAGTTCGCCTACGCACAGGCGGCCGCCTACGCACAAGCAGGATTCACCCCCGATACAACGTAGGAAGGGGAAGGAGCCGGCGGAAGATCTGACTTCGGGTCAAGGGCCTTCGGGACCAGACCCTCCGGCGTAGAACGGGCCGCGATTTGCCCCTTCGGCGCCAGGGCCTTCGGGTCCACGAGTTTTGAGCAGGGAGCGTGCGGAGACTGCACCTCTGGCGTATAACCCGCCGGCAGATGCGCTTTCGGCGGTAGGGCCTTCGGGACCAGGGACATCGGGCGAGCGGTCTCCGGCTCTGTCGCCTTCGGCGCTGCACCTGCGGCGGACAAGGCGCCGGTACTTGCGCCTACGCGTAGGCCAGACGCAGCCCTCGCGCAGGACCGATCGAAGGAGCAGAACCTAACGGAAGAGCGGATTGTCTGTCCGCATACGAAATTCGGGTGCGCAATGCGCAATTACACCCCGCGCAGACACATTCCGCTCGATCGCCTTCGGCGGCGGACGTCGGTGGCGAAGAGGACACAGTCGACGCACGACATGCGGATGATGGGGATGTAGCACGGCCACATTCACCCACCGCCTTGGACATTTTAGCGGGGAGCAGCGAAGCTGCAGGAGTGCCTTCGGCGGCAGCACCCGTAGACAACTCGCAGCCCCACTCAGGTCAGTCGCCAACGCAATCAATGGCGACCGAAATCCTTCCCTCGGATGATGACGAAGGAGGCTCCACAGAAGCAATGTCGGGATCGGGAGACACCGAGGAGAAGGAGAAGGAAATTGTTGGAGCCGGCGGCGCTCTCTGAGCAGGTAATACCTCTACTGAGGTACTTGGATCGCAAATTTGATAAATATGCCGATCCACTCCAGCCGGGGTCCTACATCGAGTTAGTGCGCAGGCGGACTCGCACTAAAGTCCACACTAGCAAGCTACTAGCTAGGGTGGACCGGGAGCTGAAGGATTTACGGGAGAAGCATGCGTGTTTGTGGGGACAGTATAATCTCGTGCGGAAGTCGCACACCCACTACGACGCATTGAAGCAGGCGAGACTGGAAGAACTCACCAGGGATGTGGTGAAGACCACGGAAGAACTAATTTCTGAGAAAACTCAGAATCAGGTTTTGTCAGAGGAGCTCGTGCGACAGACGCGGTTGTTAGCGGAGTGTCAGCTCGCACGACAGGCGGATGAGGATTTAATCCGCAGGCTGCAGTCGGAGTGCGGGGAATTGAGAGCTCAGCATGCGGAGGCCGAATCGCAGTTGGTAGTAATTGAAGATGATCGCAGGCGAGAGTCAGATCGCACGAAGAAGGAGATGGCGAGGCGCGTCGCCCACTGTCTCAAGGGCTACGCCCACTGGGAAGTGGCGGCGCAAGAGAAACTCACACTGCGTGAGTTGGAGCTTTGTGCAGCCGGGTTGTTGTCAGGTGACAATAGGAATCGGCGGAAGGTGGCGAAGAAGTTAGACTCTTTTCTGTCGAAGGCGCGGGATAACATGTCCACCCTCGAGGCGGAGGTGTCCGCGGCGTTGCAGCGTTTGGGACTGCGCAGTCGAGCGGAAGACTGGCAGGGTAGGGAGTTAGTGCGCGGCAGTCCGTCGCGCAGGAGGCGAAGCACAGGTTCTGCAGAGTGTAGTGTAGCGTGGTTCCGTGCCGGCGCATAGTGTAGTGCAGTGTAGTGCTAGTTAGGACTTAGAAGGTATAAAGTAGTTCAAGGCGTCTTGCCTTGGGTTCTTTCCCAATTTTGGAAGTGCAGATCAGGAACTCATTTTCTCTGCTTGTTTGTGTCCTTAGTTCTGTCACCACGCACGAGGAGCTACAACTTGGCGTTCCGCATTTTGTAGCTGAAGGCCTCCGGCCGAATGTTCAAAGCTAGTACATTGGTTAGAGACTTGAGTAGTTCGGATCTACACCTGCGGGTGATTGCCGATGCTTAGAGCCAGTGACTAGTTAGATACTTGAATAGTTTCGCCCCTACACCTTCGAGTGTTTGTTCCTGATTGTACTCCTTCGGGATTTTTCCCTTGAATGCCAAAGTGAAGTTTTGCTACTTCGTGCAAGCCTTGGTTGTAAATTCAGGTTACGCTGCAGCATGTGCCTTTGGAGTAACCCTTGTAGAATTTCTGGGAATGACAAGTGCCTGAGAATTCAAACTCTTCAATAGACTGTTATGGTGTGTTACTGGAATGTTTCTCAGTGAGTCCTTCAGTGCGGACCTGTGTTCTCTGCGCGTTTTGTGAGTTGAGAGTGTTGTTCACCGCGTATGAGTGACTTCGATCCGAAGTAGGTAGTCCAAACCGGGTTTCCTACGCTAGCAGCAAGCTAGTGGAAGCGTTGTAAAAGCCGGAGTTGGGAGTCACTACCCGCAGCTTCGCTGAGTGTACTCTTGAGAGACTTTCCCCCTGAAATCTTGAGTAGAGGTCCTGACGGATCTCTGGGTTGTGTTTCTGTAGTTTCAGGTGTGTGTGTGTGTTACGCTGCACTGTGCGACCTCCGAGTGCGCTCCGAGTGGACACTTGCAGTATTTCTGGGAGTGACAGTCGCCTGAGAATTCAAACTCCTCAATAGTCTGTTAAATGTGACACTTTGTACCCTGTGTGTTCCTCTGTCCATGTGGGTTCGACCTTTCTACCACTATATTGCAGTTTTAGCCTTTAGTGAGTTATTACAATTCACAATCTTCATCGGTGCATGGAATTTCCATGTAGGGGTCTCATATTTGTTTTCTCATTTTGAAAGCATAAAAAATTTATTGGAGTTTGCTCGTTATCTGACATTCAGGCAGTTTCTTCATAAAACTCGAATTCGGTCATGATGATTTACTACTCCGTCACTAGGGACCACCTAATTCCACCAGGCTATTACCACGTCGTCGTCACTACACTGCAATACATCGCCCTTAGTTCCAGTCCGAATTTTGATGTTCGATGATGTACCGTAATACATGCTGTTAAGATCCAATGCGCTTCCATTGTCACAATAGCCCGAAAAACTTTAGGGTACTGCCCTCCAGAGGGGCTGTTGTTACTATATAGGTTACCGAGTGCAGTGTCCTAAGAAGATTAGTATAGAATATTAGATTAGACGATTAGTTGAATCTCCTTTGTCTTCTTCCCCTACATTGAAGGTGGCAGGTATATTGACGGTGGATGTAACAGATCAACCATAACTCCTTGCCTACTTAGGGTACCCAACTCTCACTAATAAACTATCGAGTTGAGTTGTTACTTCAAACACATAGAACAGTTCACTCTAACAAACATAAATTATTTTGTCTTATACGCGGTCCCTACTACCAGAGACGGGAACTTGGAGTTTTAAATGGTTGAGTATGAGTGAAGAAATGTAAGCTATGGAATTTGACACTGAGAGACCCACACACGCAAGGTATTTAGAATTTAGAATTTAGAATTTACATATTTACATATTTTACATATCGTAGCATTTACGATAGAGGATAGGTAGCCTTTTTTCAAATCCGTAATATTCTCCCCCGTTGCTCTTCCGTTGAACTGGCGAGCTGTGATACAGTATCAGTCAGTACAGTCTCCTTCAAAACTCCCTAGCAGCATACTACCTTCGACGTTTGAGAGATTGACTTTCGATTCGAGCTTTATGTGACTCTCTTATAATGGCCTGAAAAAGACGTGAACACACTAAAGTGCACACTACACGTGATGCAATTGCATAAATATCTGAGGTCGCTCGCAATCGTACCCAACTTTATCCCTGGAAAGAAATTTATTTGGGCATTGGAGCATTATACTTTACGAGCTTCAGAGTTCCTGTCGGCCGCCGAGAGTGTGGAGAATCAAAATAATAGAGGCCTTGGAGAACAATCTTCTTCTTCTATGCTACACATGCGAAATTAACACATGACGCACTTCTTTCTGTTTTTCCTACTGGATCCTGATATAAGCACTAGTGGTTGTGGAATACCTCATGAGAAATTACTTGATCGGAGGCTTCGGCAGCGCTCGCGTCTGCGTCGAAACTCGGAACGCAGTGCAAAAAACAGTGGAACATGGATCGTGCTGAGGCTGCGGTACTCTTAGCTTGGCAAGGTCCAACAGTTTCGGGCTTTCGTCCAATGCCCTTCTAGGTAAGGTCATTGGATGAGTTTGGCGTGCTTGAATTTATATGAGAGATGTGGATCGATCCAGTTCCACAACTTGTGTGCTGAAACGGGCCGGAACAAGTGTGTCTCAATCATAACCAAATGTGCAGAAGGAAACAGATGGAACGTCTCCGTCTCTCTCCGAAACTTCTCTCCCAGAAACTTCTTGCTTAACTCGGTGAAGGAAGAGTACCACTTCTTCGGATCCTCACCGACGGGTCCATTCGTGAAGTGTTGGAGAAACTCACAGCAGATGAAGTCATGTTTGTTCACATAGAGATACGGAGACCAATTGGCTTTGGCCAGTGTCTTGAACTCGGCTAATGCTTGTTTTCTCCTGGTGGCGTTTTCGGTGTCGGTGCCAGCCACTTCATGGTATAACGATTTACCAGTGCTCTTAGCAAGGTCATAGAAGTGTCCAACCCTTTCAGGCAATGCATCTATAATAACACGTTCCACAAAATGTGCACAGCTGCGCGCCAGCGATTCCAGAGTGGTGAACGGAGGATTGAAGAAGTGACCCTCGACCAGACAGCCTTCGAGTGCCAGCCTTCGACAGACCATCAAGCCCGCTGCGGCCCCGAGTGAATGACCGGTCACGTTCACGTTGCAGTACCCATGTTGCGCACAGAGACGCCAGACCACATAGTACAGAAGTGCGATCAGTGTTGAAGAGTTCAGTGTCTCCAGAACGATGCCAAGATCGTTTTGGAGATCCGCCCAAGCCGAGAGCTTAGTTCCCCGGATGGCGACTACCCAGTCTGGAGCCTCGGCTGAAGGTCTCTCCTTATTTCGTCGGAAGACACCGAAGTACATGTTCTGACGCTCCTCGTGCAGTTCTGCACAACCGTATATTTTTGGCCGCAGTCAAGCGAGGTCGGATGCAGATGGGGTTCAGGTGAAGATGGATCATATGAGTCTGATACAACACGCACCTTTTGCATAGAGATGAAGCTCGTCCTCAGTGAAGACTGACTCCAAAGGGACCAGGTCATAGTGCACCTTGGTCCACCATTTCTGGTATTTTTTTGCAGGTTTGTCTTTGAACCTGTCGTACATCCCATAGATCAGCCTTCCGTGGATGGCACGTTTCTTGATCTTCCTCTCGCTGGCGTCACTGTCATGATCATGGACCGACATTGAGCTTGATGAGTGAAACCATATCTTAGACGCTAAAGCTTCTGGAGTTCTTCCAATATACGTTACAAGTTCTCGTGTCTATGAAACGAAGATTAGTACAGGAAATATCGGAAAGTAGAGTCTAACCAGTCTCCTTACTCTTGCTCATTGTTTGCGTGTAAGATCAGTTCTGGATCGTTCTTCTTTGCTTCATTCTTCTTCTTAATATTAGAAGCGACGTTCGCCCTATAGACGATCCCACCAGCCAAAAGTACGTTAGAAATTCTCATGTCTATGAAACGAGATAAGTACAGGAAATATTGGAACGTAGAGTCTGACCAGTCTCCTTACTCTTGCTGATCGTTTGCGTGAAAGATCAGTACTGGATCGTTCTTCTTTGCTTTCTTCTTCTTCTTAATATTAGAAGCGATGTTCGCCCTATAGACGATCCCACCAGCCAAAAGTACGTTAGAAATTCTCGTGTCTATGAAACGAGATAAGTATAGGAAATATTGGAACGTAGAGTCTGACCAGTCTCCTTACTCTTGCTGATCGTTTGCGTGAAAGATCAGTTCTGGATCGTTCTTCTTTGCTGTCCTCTCCTTCCTTCTATTATAAACGACGTACGCCTTATAGCCGATCCCAGCAACCAAAAGTGTACCTAGAACCATGATAGCTTGTCACAATCCAACAGATGCGCTTCTTTTGCGTCGAATTGTGCAGGTTGACGAACAAAACTGAAAGGTGACTCCGGATTTCCGCTGAAATTGTAAAGTTGCATATGAATCCTCGATGCGCCTGAAGTTTTGAAGCACTTTGTTCTCCTTCCAAGGATGATTATACTGGACTTCAGGGAGTGCAGATGTGCAGGCAGCAACTGAACTTGATAGTTGTGCTTTGGATGGTATGCTGTGCTCACCCTGGAGATATATACACTCCGGCGGAAGAGCACCATTTACACGTAAACGTCCGTACAAAAGTCCATTCACACGACCTCGTGTGACCTTCCCGTCAATCACCACCAAAGCAAGCCAATATAAATGAGAAAGCTCACCAGCACGCTACCCGTTTCGCAAGCGTTGGAACTTCTGATTGCTTTGGCTTCACATTTGCCAAGAATCGGCGTTAGAGAAGAATAGAAGAAAGAATCACCGTACGCTTTGGAAGTGGGGAGTTCAACCGGAATAACAACGTGGGATTGCAGAGTTTCGATCCGAACGCGTATCGTCCGGCACACGCAAGCATGTAGACTACAGTGTGTGCGGCGGTAGTCAGATGTGACCTCTAGAGTCTCTTTTAACTGCAGGATATGAGGACGGTGATCATGTAGAAGCCCTGGAGGCGGTGGCAGTGGAGCACGACGGATCGAGATTCAGATGAGGTCGAATAGACTAGAATATGCACATTCTAGTCTATTCTAGTCTATGCGCAGTACATCGTCTTCCCATGAAACCACTCGGTCCGCCCGAGCGGTCTGATCAGAGATCCGAATTGAGTGATAGGACGCGAACAGCGTCACGTCAACAAAGAGAACTATGGGCCCATCTCCATCATCCTGATGACAAAAAAATTTGATTCTGTTCAGGCTACGTTTACTTGGCTGCTCACGAAGATTTTCCTGGCGGCTGGGAGACGCTGACACTTCAACCATAGTCCTGGTTACCATTTGACCTGACCATGGGTAGAGCGGGAAGAGGAGTCTCCGACCCCAACTCTGGAGGCTGGTGTGTTGAATTTGCGGCTTATGCGTTGCCTACCGAAGGATGCTTGCGCTGTAGATGAGGATACACGGCAGCTACACACCGCAAAGATAACTGTCGTCCTAGAGTCAGACCAATTGTTCTCGTGATAAATTGCTTCTACAATCCCTTGATACCATTCTATTGTATACTTTGCATGTGGAGGAATTGCATCCTGCTGAATACACTTAATTTCAGAATTTGGGATGCTGCGATCGTTCTGCTTGAGCTTGCAAGTATGCAGGATCTCATGATGAATCGCGTGGACTCGATGGGATCCACGTCATTCCAGGTACAATGCCGATCTGCTCTCGTAGGGATCTCTGAGCTGCTATTTTGACATTGACGCTAGTCTCACTTCGTAACCCTGAAAGAAAATCCAACTGCTAACGGCACCAGTCCCAAAGTTCTGCTCTGCCCCATGCAGGATACAAAAGACTCTTCTCAACCTTGGAATTCTTTGAATTTTGCTTTTGAATGGAGGCATTCATGGAGTAATCTCTGAGCATTTTGATAACCTGATAATTACGATCATCAGAAGCAGAAGGTAATCGAAACCGGTAATCTTCTAACTCGCTGAGCCATGAAATGCCACCAGCTTGAGTATTTTAAGATGCATTGATGTGACACCTGCTCTCAGCCACAACGTTAAGACCTTCATTGCATTAGGATAGGAAAATTTAGCAATTCCAGACGTATTCAGTCTGCAAGTTGGTTAAAATGACCCGCTTAGAATTTACAAACGTGTGCTCTGTGGACTGAGGAGTCATCCTTCCCATGGGCCATGAACGGCCTGATCAAATACCATGTTGTGTTGAACCAGATGTGTCAATCAGCCAGATAAATGATCTCGCTTTGTTTTCAATATTCCCTTGACCTGACTCCGATGTTGTGCTTCGTAACCTTAAATTTGAATCGAAATCTACCTATCGTTTCATTTCGAAGTTTCAGAAGACATCTGGAGAAAATAGTTGTCAGAGATCGCTCCACCTTCTTTCGAGAATTTCAGATACAAACTTGTGAAATTCTTACAATGTGACTGTGAAGAGCAGGCAACAAAATACGGATGCCAATTTCTAGACGTCATTCTCAATCTTCAGTCAATGACAGATACATTTGCTTCACTACTGTACCATGAGGTCAAAGTTACTGGCGTTTCAAAGGTTGGTCTTCCAGACTAAGACCAGTGTACTCTGTTTAGTAACGGAATCCATCTCAGTTGTCCTCATCTACTGAAAAATCACTGCGCTTAAAACTGCCTGGACTAGTGATGGCTGCTGAACACAGTAGAGGTGAACACATTTGCAGACATTGAATTCTGAAAAACTTTGTGTTCCTGGATGCACCACTGAGTGCAGCTCGGGACCTCTGGCGCTGACATTTTTTGTAATAAAGAATGGTTCAACACGAACATGACGCTGCAAAATGTATAAATAGGTCTTAACTGGACGGGATGAATTTGTAGACCACATGTTCGACGACTCCGGCCTGGAGACCCGGTCCAGTAGCATAGTTTCGATTTAGCTGTTTGTATGGAGAAGGTTTTGATTAAGGTGGCCACACTTACTAAATGGGTTAAGGAAGGTCCCAGGATTCAGGGCTTCTATGGAAATGGACATTGCGCAGTGAGTTTCTTGAAATCATTTCTGGAAATGGCGTGAATCTTCTGGACTTTTCCTCTAGAAAATGTAAACGCTGGATTTTCTGTAGATGAGCAGGCAAGGTGAACCTGAAACGGCAAAGTCAGACTGAAAGGCAAGTGCTGTCATGTTGCGGTCGAGCCTCGTCAGGACCAGGAAACGAAGTCTATGTCCTCCAAATGTAGAAGTAGAGACTGCAGAGAGCTGCAGACTTCGTTCTCACTCATCAGATGGAGACTTTGTTAGCTAGGTGTTTGGCGATAGAACGTCACTGGTCACGGTGAGCTTTGCGTATATAGAATTGTTCAGCGGAGATACTGGTGGTTATTTCCTGTCTAATTACAGTAATTAGTGTTTGCATCAGCACGAGACAGCTTGCAGTTACTGGCTACGTCATGAAGACAGTAGTAGCTGAGAACGTCTGTACGTCAGCTAGAAATTAGATTGTGGTGCAAAATTGTCTCAAAATAATCTAGCGTTCCAAAATTCCAACAAACAGTAACAATTCAAATCAATAAAGTCAGCTAGGTGTAAGATTATATAGAGGAAATTATTTCTCATTGTAGAGACATTTATAGACTGTCTGATAGGCTACCTAGAGAAAAAATAAAATGAGAGGTTTTCTTTTCTTTGCTGAAGCACCTCGGGTGCTTCCTGGAAGAATCTCTCCGAAGTCCGTCCGAGCTTCAGGCCCAAGTGTGTGTACCTACCTGCCCACAAAGGCAGGCTGGGCCGAGATGGGGTGACCCTTAGCACCCCTCCTCTTTCTTTTTTTTCCTTCTTGCTCGGATGCCGCTCTAGGCGAGCTTGCCCTCACTTCGGTGCCTTGCCTTGCCTCGTAGCTGCTTCTAAACAAGTGGGAACCGGCTGCCTCGCCCCGAAAAGGTCTTGACTGTATTTTACTCAGGCCGCAAGTGGGCCTCTATGCGACTGAGACTCTTAGCGTCTCACGTTGTCTCTCGCCCGAATCACTCGTTCAAAGGTCTTGACTGATTTGCGCCTACTCGCTGTTTCGGCTCATTGCCCCGAAAAGGTCTTGATTGTTTGCCTTGGGTCGCAAGCGGGTTTAGGATTCTTAGCGTCTAACGCTGTTTCATCCCCGAAACACTCGCCCAAAGTTCTTGGCTGTTTTTGCCTTGGGCCGCAAGTGGGCCTCCATGCGAACTGAGACTCTTAGTGTCTCACGTTGTCTTTCGCCCGAAACACTCCCTCAAAGGTCTTGACTATTTTGCGCCCCGTCGCAGCTTTGGCTCATTGCCCCAAAAAGGTCTTGACTGATTTGCGCCCACTCGTAGTTTCGGCTCATTGCCCCGAAAAGTTTTTTTCCAGGGCAATTTCTTCGGGGAAGATGGATCTCCTAGTGTTTCAATGCGTGATGGATGGAGAGGAGAGAGGGTATTGTATGCCATCGGATTCACGGAGAAGGGACTTGTTGGAACTCTCACAGACGCCACGAATATCGCCGAAGACATCGGGAGAGCTTATGATCATGACATGTTGCAAACTGCTATTTAGGTTGAGGAATACAATGGATCATTGAAGATCTGGAAGGGCTAGGGTGGCTGGCAACACTTGTCGAAGTCATAAACAGATGAAGATATTGGCCATGGACAAATTCATCACGGACACAATATTCACAACTATCGAACGTCGAGGCAGTGAGTAGTAATTAAATAAGCTACTGACCCCTCGGAAAAGCAGAGGAAGTGCTCCTCCTTATCTTGAGCTTGACTTCGCGTACAGCACAATCACAAGGCAGTTGTTTGGGTTTCGCTTTGAATCCGCTCTTTCTCTTGTTCGTTCGCTCCCGAATTTTGCGTGCAAATGGAATGATGTGTTCCATCCCATATATATATCCAGCTGGAAAACGTTCGAAACCATCGAAAATTCAATAATGATTCATCGATATCGATCGCAATCAACGGAAGAACTCTCCAAGAACCCGTTCTCCCTTTCAGCTATGCGGCACGAATTTGAATCATGACCCAAACGGGTGATATTTCAAATTCGGGCTTGGCGTGAGTGACAGTGCACGATGATGCAGTGACCAGTATCACTGCATCTCTTTGAAAACCATATGTTCCGATCTGTCCCTTGACGGAAGGGTTGAGTCATGGACCCCCGAACCACCTGACTGTTAGTGCAAGTGCCTTAACTTCAGCTGAGAAACTTACTAGGAGCATCACAAGGACGATGATTAGAGTTGCATCCAAGGACATTTGATTATCGGATCCTAGTTCAATTACATTTAAGAACGACAAAAGGTCAATCCCTTTTGAGATTGACTTAGATCTTAAACCCGCAGTTCCTTTGCTCTGTTTATTCATTTGAATACTAAGCCGATGAAACATTGTGAACTCATCGTACCTCAACATGTATCTGCTGAAGAAAGGAGGATTATGTAGGATTCTCTTGTTAAAGTAAAAAATTCCTAAGTATTCTGTATATCAAAAAATGGTGCAACTAACGGGAATACCTGCATTGGATAGAAGGCATGATTGCTTTCACTATGTTGGAGGAGAAGCCACTCATGACCGTCGAGAGATTGCCTGCCAAGGGTGTGTAATAAATATGACAGAAAAAGCTAATGAGGGAACTATACTTTATGCTTTCTGGGCAAACGTCAACCTTGGGTGTAATATTTTTCTTTTGCATGTTTCCAACAATTATGAACCCCAGTGAGAGAAGCCCAGTTTTGCTTATTTGTTTAGATGAGTATTGAGCAGTTAGAAATCGAAGCGCTAGATTGAACTGTTTTTAGCAGTGGAGCCTGGAAAAATAGATAAGGCGAGGTTGCAATCATGACATGATCAATGCTCTAGC